TCCTCACATCTGGGGCGAACAACTTTAGCTAAAAAATTTTGCACTCAACGCGAGCATAGCTGCTCTAGCTGTGTCATAATAAATGTAAATTGCATACGCTCTACAACAGCAAAGATACATAATGAGCGGGCTGACTCTCAGTAACATCCATTCCCCCAACCCACACACACAACCAACCATTATACGTGCACCTAAGTGCCTATCCATGCCTTATACATAGGGCTTCAGACGTCGACACAGCAACTATGTTCATGGGTGGCATAGTGTCCAGGTCCCAGGTTTACACCCCTCTGCTTTACACTATCAGACATCCATTGTTCCTGCCTATAATTTCTGCAGATCACCCCATCTGCTCCGTACACAGAGCCTGCAGCAGCAGCTGTACTTGTAGAGCCCCAATAGGGCTGAGGTTGAGGAAATGTGTACCATCGTGACTGAGCTCAGGTGCCAAAATATGGGTAGGGCTCCATGTATCAATGATTGGGATAGTACTATCATTTTCATCAGCCCTACTAATGTTCTTGCCATTTAATTGGGATATGAATTGCTCCACAATCTGTGCACCAGCCATGATATCTGATGCAAGCCGGTTAAATAGCAACAGTACTGGATCTGTGCGCCAGTCAATTCCTGCCATCTCATAGCGGGCCTTGAGCCAGGTTGAACTTGTGGTTACCCAGAAGACCCGCATGCCATGAGCATTTCGGAGATCTAGCAGCCTCTGCCGCACATGCAGCAGGGCATTACGATAATCATCTACAGTGCGTGGGCTTGGACCACAATGGAAGGATGCATACCAGTGCCCAAAATTTGCAATAACATCTGTGCAGTTGAGTGCAACCAGTGTGTCAAAGTCCCCCTGGGGTTTTGGCCAGTCCATGCCCCACACAGCTGCAATGTAGGAGAGGCTACCAAACTGCAAGACATCTTTGAGGTTGTTGTGAACAAGGACTTTGTAGTCCTGAAGGAATGAGGAGAGGCCATTGTGCAGGTAGCGCATGTGTGAGTCTCCAATAAAGCAGACACGGCGACCCTGTAAGAAGCAGTGTTCCTTAGTAATCACACTGCTATTGTTGTCATCAACTGATTCTGCCTGGTGCTCCCCTTGCCCCTGTAGACCTTTGACGCTTTGCATGCGGCAGCCATCAGGCTGCCAGTAAAGTGTGCCTGGGTTCAAGTTGCTGCGAAGTGCCCGCTGCTGGGGGGTATCACAGCTGCAGCTGTCGTCTGATAAGTTGCCCCACAAGCAGGTGCGGAGCAATGGTGTGGCCTCTGGTCTGGGCCACTCATGGAACATCCACCGACCAGGACGTGGTCCTGTCCCTGGGCAAAGGGGCAGCAGACTGCTGTCACTTTCATCACTATGCAGCTGATGGAACTGTTGCTCCGTTTCACCATGTTTCCAGTATTTAAGTGACCATTTTTTGTTTACTTCATCATCTGCTTCTCCTTGGTGAAAGCTGCTGCCAGTACTGTGAGCAGCATCCACCTGCTCTGACAGGATGGTCGGGTCCGGGGCTGAAGACCAAGTTGCCCAGTGCATTGGCCCCTCTGCTGCATCGTTCTGATCTTCTTGCATACCATTCATGCCATGTCGTAGTCTCTGTGGTGAGTTTTGCAAAGTGAGATGCCCCACCCAAGGCTGCGCCACGGGCTTGGTAGCAGTAGGTTGTGCAAAGGAGAAGCTGTAGTACACCATCAGAACCTCCACTGAATAATATCCCGGGACAGGCAGGAAGTAGCTCGCGCAGGCAAGGCTAGGGTGATCATAGCTGGGCTCCAACAACCACACACCGCCCGGGCCAACGACGCGCAGTCGGTAGATTGCTGTGCCTTGTAGCAAGGTGTCGTTGAGACCGAAAGAGGCATCCCTCTTCCGTTGCAACGCTATAAACCCAGAGTTTGGCGACCTCGAGCAGTGATGCACGATAACGGGAAGGGTTGCGCTCTCGTGTGCCACGCATTCTTCAGGATAAAAGGTGGCTGCAAACTGCTGGTAACAGCCTATCGGCTGCTTCATATCTGCATGGAAGGGCGGCGGCGAAGTTAAGCTCCAAAAGAACATAGCCCGTGGCCTCAAGGTTAGTGTGACTGATAGCAAGTAACACAAGGCTATCTTTAACATTCGTCCCTGCAAGAGGAATTTCATTTCTGTCTCTGACGGCAAACAAGTACCCCAACGTTATAAAGGTTTTCGTAACATTTACCGGGCATTAGTCGTATGTCCAGCGGCAGGATCAAGCTGCCAGGACAGTGTACAGCGTCACTTACCATTCGTACAGTCCATCGCAACGAATGATAAATATAATATAAAACTGCAACAGAAAACTTAATAACAAAGACGCGGTACGAGCGCGACAAGAACACAAAGCTCTATCGGTGAAGGTAATGATTTTAGTTATGGGCGGTCGTGCGAGAAGGTGGGCATCCTTCAGAAACGCCTTACCCGGTTAAACTGGTGTAATTGGGATGAAATTGTCATCAAGCGAATACGTATTCAGGCCGGTAAAATTCTCTAAGAAGGTCTTTGTGAAGTTAGCGCACAACAAATCTTCACAAACTTGGGGAGGATCCAGTAAGTGCAATAAAGAGTGCGTTCCAATGGCTTGAATATTTGGCGCAAGACACCAGGTTAGATAGATGCCGATTGCCGAAGGAAGTCCCGCCGCCGCGATAGTAGGAGTCTTGACGTTGATATTGTGTTAATTGTGGCTACAGAAACACTATATTTCCATACAAAAATTGAAGGCAATTCAACGGATTTGTTTGTACTATAGGTATACGACGAGATGGTAAGAGGGTTTGGATTAGGCGTTTGGTGGGTTCAAAATCGTCAATAATCTAGGAATTAGGTTTTGTTGTCCAATCAGAACCACAATTGCAGCTTCCTGGCTGCCAAAGTGCCACTGCAAGCTGGCCGAAATATACGAGTCACAGGCACCACACAGAGCGACGTTCCGTCCATATCTGCATGCTTATTTGCAGCATCCATCCGATGCAGGCATGCACCCTAAGAGCCATGTTCTGCCACACAAACGTCGTGCTGCTCCTGCATTCCTGCACTGGAGTTTCGCCGCTATCGTGATGCTCAGAAGAGCGGGCTGGGTCTCCGTCCAGGCAACGTCCCCAGGGTGGATGCGCTCGCAATGGAGGCTGCATCGGAGTCAGCATCAAGAACGTCTGGCAGCACCGCCGCGGCGGCAGGCCCCGCTATCCCAGTTCCTGGCCGTGGTCCTGCAACCACACCCATCCCCCCTGCCCTCCGAGGAACTGATACAAGCCT